GTGGAAACTGTTTATGACGATTAGATTAAGGTATCCACAATCTTAAAATGCTATTGGAAGGGAGGAAAATAGGTCTGCGGCGTAGGAAATGGCGAAGGAAGTAGTAAAGGCGAGTAGTCCGGAGTGTGGGAACTGTTAACAACGTTTAGAATCTACAATCTTAAAATGCTATGGGAAGGGAGGAAAACAGGTCCGAAACGTAGAAAGTGGTAAAGGAAGTAGTCAAGGCGAGCAGTCCGGAGTGTGGGAACTGTTTATAAGGATTATATTAAGGTATCTGCAATCCTAAAATGCAATGGGAAGGGAGAGAAACAGGTCCGCGACGTAGGAAGAGGTGAAGGAAGTAGTAAAGGCGAGCACTGTGGAGTCTGGGAACTGGAAAACAATTGTAACAGTTTGATTTCTGTATCTGAAATTGAAATACTGAAATGCTATGAAATGGGATGGAAAGATGTCCAAGACATAGGAAATGGTAAAAAAATTAGTAAATGCTAGCAGTGCGGAGTGTGGGAAATGTTGTTGGCAATTAGATTAATGTATTTATAATACTAAAAGGCAATGGAAAGAGATGACAACATGTCCACGTAGGAAGTAGTAAAGTTTAGCATCGCAGAGTGTGGGAACCGTTTGTGGCAGTTAGATTAATGTATCTGTAATACTTAAATGCTATGAGAAGGGAAGGAAACAATGACGTAGGAAACGGTGAAGGAAGTAGTAAAGGCTGGAATCACAGAGTGGGGAATGATTTTCCCCGAGCAAAGCTCGGTCTCCAAGTACTTAGTTTATAAACAGTAAAAGAGAGTATTCAAATTGAAAACTATATAAAATGTATTTCTGAAGCAGGAATTCAGTATTTTCAAATATTATTAACGGTAGCCTATCCTAAATAAATACAGTGATTTGCTGGACACTAAAGTCCAGTTGCGACTACAATAAATAAATAATTACCTAGGATTTTATAGAAGTCCATTTTAACTAAGGCGTGTAAATAATTGGTTAGGCTTGTACAGTTACGATTACGATGCGTAGGCCTAATGCCTAGACTGCTAGGCCTATACAGAAGTTCAGTTATAGCTATTTTTTATAATTAAATATTTAACTAAACTTGTTAACTTGTGTTGTCCACTTTATAACTTATAAGTGTGGAAATAATTTTCTCTTTGCAGATATACAGACACAGTTACAATTACACATGCCAATGTTGTAAATATATGTTCAGTAATTTATGTCTGTTTGTTTAAATGTATATATTTTTTATTTGAAAGTCTGACGCCATCAATCCCTTTTGGGAAAAAGATGAAGATAATAAAGTAATAATTACAAAAAGTAGAGCCTAGACTGCTTGGTCTGTACGGGAATCCAGTTATAAAATAAGCGTGATATAATATTCCTATTTTTTTCCGCAATACTATAAGATGAATTTTTACAGCTAACAGAACAGCATGTTGGCATTTTTATGTCAGGTTAAAAATTTAGTACAACAATAAATAGGCTTTACATCAACACAGTGCAGGTTCTCAAATTAAATTGCCATAGCCTAATATAAAAACGTCTTTTATATTTGATTTAATCATTTTGTTTTACAGTAGTTTATTATGCATATACAGTACAGTATTTTACTTAATCATGCTGTAATTTAGCATGAGGAATAAATCTATTCTTGTTTAATTCATCAATTCTCTATCCAGTGCGGTCTTTAAAATCTAATCTATTTATTGAGGCCTATTTTATCTACAGTTTTATCTACTATTTTATTTATCTACAGTAGGCCTATTTTGGCAACGGGGTGGAGCTAGCGCAAACGTCACCAATTCAATGCCAATAGCGTCGCGGCAACCACCATCTTTTTCAGGGTATCATCAGCTCGTGAAATTAGCCACGCCTTATTTCCTGTGATGACCATTGACTATGGTATTGCTATATATAGTCACCTTCTTCTGTCATTCTGTTCGCTGAGCAAAGTTTACTAATTGGCTACGGTAAATGTTTTAGTTGGAGAAAATGAGAAGGAAGCCTATAGGCCTACATAAATGGGAGCTAAACAAACATTAGTATATTGACAAAATAATACTTATCTTTATGCTATTTCAAACACATAGTTTTACTATTACTCATATACAGGGTGACAAAAAAGTCTGGAAACGGTTTAATATCTTTTTAACTAAATTCGTTAGAAAATTCAAACCTTTCACATCAACTTATATGTAAGAAAACTACTTTTTGCAATCATTGCCATTATTTGAACTTCACCAGGGGACGGCCCACGAGGAGTAGGTACATAATCTTTAATGTAAGCATAGGTTGATATGCACATCATTTTAAAGGTCTGGTTAAGTGGAGTTTGTTACCGGAAACCGCGTCAAAAAAGGTTCATCCGTTACAAAATGGCGGTAGTTCAAAGTTCTTGCGGAATATACCTGCAGAGGCCTTAGTATTGGTAAATACTCATACTCAACATTAGCAGGGAAATCTGAAACCCGGTTAAATTTGTTTTGATGATTGATAACTATTAGTCTATGAGCTAGTTGACTTTAAAATACAGTTTAAGCTCTCAAGCTAATGTTTAATACGAGTATTTGCCCATACTAAGGCCTGTGCAGGTATATTTCACAAGAACTTTGGACATCTGCCATTTTGTAACGGATGAACCTTTTTGGACGCGGTTTCCGGCAATGAACTCCACTTGACTAACCCCTTAAAATGGTGTGCATATCAACCTATGCTTACTTTAAAGATTATGTACCTACTCCTCATGGGTCGTCCCCTGGTAGAGGTAAAAAAATTACAATGCTTGGAAAAAGTAGTTTTCATACATGTAAGTTGATGTGAAAGGTTTGAATTTTCTAACGGATTTAGTTAAAAAGATATTAAACCGTTTCCAGACTTTTTTGTCAACCTGTATATACAAGTAAGAATCAATGACCTAATAGAAACAGCTGGCTGGATTCATATTTCCTTCAACTCTTCCAACCAACCACGAGAATTCAATTGGATTGTTGCTATGGTGACGTCATCATGTATTCAATTTGAATCATGAATCAAATTAAAGTTATTTGTTTATATCAAAGCTTGCTTACTCCGCTCAATTGGCGGACCTGAGGCCGCATGCCTAGTTATTTAATACAGCCAAGATGGTTACTTAGCAACCCATTAGACTAATGTTAAAAAAATGTTACTTTCAGTTTAATTTTTCTACGTAATTAGATTTTTGCTGGCAGTTCTAACTGCAGTAAACTCGTTTTTAGGCCAGGAATAAACTATTTACAACATTTGAAGAAAATCGTCGGAGCCGTTTTTGAAATCTTTGTGCAAGCAAGCATACATACATACATACAAGCAAACATTGCTCGTATTAGAGTATAGGATAACAACAGCTGATCATAGAAAGTATAAAGGATACTACAACTATGGAAAGACAGACACTTCATTTTAGAGATATAATACCCCCGCCGCAGCAAACCTGCAGACTAAGCGAATTTCCATTTGCCTGGTTGGATTTACACTAAAATGTCTCCTTAAAAATATCACATTTATTCCCTATTTAAATCAAATCAGTTTAACACATACTTAGGTTTGCTGCAACAGGGAGGGTTAAAGTGTTTTTTTATGTAAAATGTTAATAGTTAGTAAGAAATAAAAACATTTTCCAAATTTGGGCAAAATATGTTAATAAATAAGCAAACTACAACAGTTTACTTATCCTCCATAAGAATAACATGGGAATTTTAAATTTACAATTTTTTTGAATTTTCTCCGCAACCATTAGGCGCATTATAACGCTTCAATATACTAAATTATTTGTTTTTTTAAGCTCTACAAAATAGTTTGTAAAGAAATTGCAAAAATTTAAGTTTTTTGGGTCAAAAATGGGAAAAACCCATTTTTACCCCATAAAAGCCCCCATAAACCCCCGTTCCCATGGTCCGATCATGCTGGTTCGCGAACTCGTTCGAATAAACGTAGGTTTACACGTTTGTACCAAATTTCATCAAAATCGGATCATTTTTGCTCGAGTTATCGCGCTAACGGACACATATATATATAAATATATATATATATATATATATATGAATTTGAACGGATGCTATTTTTGGCCTCTAGGGACCTCAAAACAAAAAAAAAAATGGGTCCCGGGTCCAGGTCTTACCATGAGTACTACGGTAATAGCTTATTCCCTATATGGGAAATTCGCTAAAAACAGACTACATGTTGTGTACCGTACTAATGTTTGAGTAATTATATCGCCATAGGTTTGACCAGCCTGTTGTGATGCACTCTAGTGTATTGGAGTAGGTTGTGGTAAAGGGGTGGATAAGACAAAAATTGGGCAAACTCCATTGTTTGACATTGCTAAGGATCAGCTGAAGATTAAGTTAGTTAAAGTGGTTTAAATACCTGCATTTAAGTAACCTAATTCGTTGCTTTATGTTGCAACCGGTTTCAACTGCGTGGAGTCATCTTCAGGTGTGCATTGAACACATTGAACGGACACTAATGTTTGCCGATGCGTACCGGCTGGATGTGAAGTAGAACTGTCTAGACTAGACTAGCCAATATTTTAAATTTGTCATATGTGCATCACACTTTTACATTATCCTAGGTAGTCTAAATAAGTGTTAACCACCTGAGATAACAAAAACTTACTTTTATTAAGACACGGCATGAGTTACAGTTTAATTTTCTTTTCTAAAAAAAATGTTGGATGTGAAACCATTTTTACGGCATTAACAAAGAACTAATATTGTCTCCTCAGCATCCTGACCCCGTTATAGCAGCTAGTAAATTATATTTAAATACTGTGTGTTCTCTTGTATAAACAAGTTGTATAAAAATACTACATTTTAAAATTTACAAAAATCTGATTAAATCAAGTTGAAATCCAAGTTGACATTCAAACATAAACCACACATGAAATATACACCAAAAAGGAAAATTGTTCCAGCTCATCCCATTACAAAGAGAATAAATCATAAAATGGCACAATGCTAAATAAAACAAAATTATGAATGTTTGTGATTCTTTTATTACATTATTTCAAAAGTACAAAATTAAAAACCAATCAAATTTAACAAATACATTCTACAAAAAAATAGAAACCGATAGAATATATTTTTATCTCAACATGTTTTTATTTATTCACCCTCATAATGGTAATGTTTGGCTGGAATCTTTAAACTTTGTGTTTGATGATAATTAATTCATCAAGCAACAGAGGGTTTTAATTTGCATTAAATATTGTATCTGTATAAATTTCCTTGATCATTAAAAAATATATATATATATAAAAACACTCGCTGTAAGAAATACAAAAAAATCACTTCCATTTCTTGTTAGGTGTCATTAAATTTTGGTAATTCAGTTTTTTATAAATACTTTTATTTAGAGTAAAATAAAATGATTTTACAATTAATTTGAAACTTAAGTTAGTGTTCAGTGTTTAGTTTCAAACATTATTTTCGGACTTCAAAATAATCTAACAAATTCAGTGTTTTTTTTAAAATCAAATATACAAAATCAACTATGAAACAAGTATATACAAATACATCAAATAATAAAACATCCGTTTTTATAGAAAATTCCGTTTAGACTTTTCTAAAAAAGAGATGTTTTATAACAATCAATGTGTTATAAAATTATAAAAATAAAGAATATTGTCAAAGACAAAATTTAACGGCAACATTTCAATGATTAAAACTCCAAAAGATTGAAAAAACATAAATCCATTCACACTTTTAATTTAAAAATTTAACTTATAAAAACAGTTGTTTTCATTTGACGGTTTTATCAGGTTACTTACATAGTTCTAACAAAGTTTACAATCTACAATGAATTTATACTAAAATATAAATATACAAAGACATAATACAAACCTATAAAAATAACCAGATACGACAGACAGGCACAAGAAAATACACGAGGAATTGACAAACACATTGGGACCTAACACTGCATATCACAAGAACAGGAAATGTTAAATATATGTAATAATCTTGTCAGAAATCTAAACCTCACTGTGGCAATATCAAATACAAAATGGATTAAAACTACGTTCTAACAACTGTACATATCACATCGCAGCGTTGTACGCAAACATTCACACTCTCAAACACTCACTGATACGTTCAATCTTCTTACAATACCTACACTATTCCAGTCACCATAAAAGTACATTCAATAAATATAAAAACGTAACTTGTAACTAAGAAATACAAAATTAATTGGTTAAGGTTGCACGGCAGCAAAATCTTAATTTTCTTTCCAGGCTGCAGAGACCTTTGGCCCTTTATTATTGTCCTGTTTTACTTCTGTTGACCTAAAATCAAAAGGAAATTATGCTTCAATATACTTTCAGACAAATAACATGGTGAAAGAGATTGCTGCAAGACTGGGACATCCAAAGAATAGTTTGTGGGGTGAATGATAGATTATGCTACGACAAAAAAAGTGTTTACTATACACTGGTTTAGTGTGATGCATTGATGATCAAACAAATGCAGCCCTGAGTTTATCAAAACTAGAATAACTAGCTGCATGGCTTCAATGAAAAGTTAGTTATGTATGAGGTACAATGGGGAAATCGGGATCACAGAAAGATGGCGCACAACAAAATTTACAGGTATCAGTGATCTTGATATTGTCAGAATCAGTGCCACCAGTAAGGCAATATTATGTTCAAAAGTATATGAGTAAAATTATTTTTAGTAACATGTTTCTGTCTGTACAAATCCAAATTCAGCTCTGTAAATGCCTCCTACAATGTCCATGTTTTGAGTCAGCAAATGAGCTGAATCCAGAACTAGACTCAGATATTACATCAGACGTCTCCAATAAACATTGTATCAAAATAAAATTTCAAATTAATTTTGACCTTAAACTTAAAAGTCTTTTTTAATGTTAAGACTGTCATTCCAAATATTCTCAGCAGTGAACAAGATACCAACCATGTTCTAGCTGTCAAGCTGCTCGGTGTGGTCTAGAGAGTCGAGCGTGTCGTTGCTCGTTGAGTGAGTCAGATCGCTAAGTTCATCAAGATGTTTCTGCCTCTTTCTGACGTTCCAGTGCAGACACTCGGCCAGAGAATCAAACCAGTCAGATATCTGATCTTGTGAGCAGATACTCGGTACCGGGTAGATAGACGTAGTGACCCGCAAACTGTGAAGGAACAAACATAGATACATCATGGCAGCAAACACAACAATTGTTATTCTAGACTAATTTATTGTGCCTTTAGATTGAAGAAATTGTTCAAATTTTATGAATATGTTTGCACAATCAAGTCTCTAAAAGAATAACATAATCTTCAAGCCGTTTTGTTGAGCTATACAGTGTGGATAGTGGTTATGATACTTAAGATGGCCAAAGGGTTAAAACTGTAAGTTTTCTCTTTGTTTAGCACTTTGTCCAAACACATCTATCACATATAGCAAGGTAGTCCAGTCAACGAAGACATTGAAGCATAAAAAATTCATGTATAAGCCAAATTTGGTACAGTTGTAAGGGAAGGGTCCCTAAACAACATACAAAAAGTACTGACCAATCTATATAATTAATACGCTACATGAAACTTTGTCGGTTGAACTCCTCCGCCATTTCTTAACCGATTTTATCCATTGACGTCTCATTGGAAAGAGCGTGTCGCGTAGATTTGCAAACTGGCCTTACATTTTTGAAAAAGTCCCTTGGGCTCTGCCCCAGTGGCTTTGAAAGTTCCCATGTTATCCTTACAAAGAACATAATTGTTTACATTTTGATCAGCTGTATAATTTAATTCCTGTTATTTATTTTTCAATTCAATGAAACGCATTGAGTACATTTATTTACTATTTGAGTTTTTGTGTAAACATAACCCCCAGGACGGATCGTGTTAGTATGGTTGTATCTTAAATTTGTGTAGATTTATCGGTGTTTTGTGTCGCTATGACGTGTTTTGTATTAGCATGATTGTAACTTAAATTTGCGCATTTATCGTTGTTCTGTGTAGCTATCTATAATTTGTTTATTTGTTTTTTTTTTTCTTTTAAATGCGTCCAACGCGACGACAACGAAACATAGACAGGAGGCGTAATCGTGAGAACGACCGCAGCAGCTACAGAACAGTGATCACAGTCAGCACCTGGCCCTGGACAATCTCAACTATTAGGTTACAAATGCACCCTAACACCAAGGCGTATGAAATATATATACATATATATTTCACACAACACTACCCCAAAATGACTTTTCGTTATCAATTGGCTCTCTATCAATGATCCGTGTTGCCTGTACAGCGAGGCATTTTGAGGAGAAAACCGGCCGGAATGTTTTAGGTTTATCAATAACGAAGATCAACATGGACAACCTTATACGGTTATAAGTCAGGAAATGTTTGTAGAAAACATTATAAAGCAATACCAGATTATGAAATATGATACAATATTTACAGGAAATGTTGATTACTGTTATATACATTCTGAGTATCTCCATTAGTTACACACCGGTAATCTTTGAGTTGACTCTTTTAAACTTATTGTAAATATGACTGTTATTCGTTTTAAAATAACCCCTGTAATACTCTGCAATTGCTCGAATTCGAGCAACATGTACACTAGTATTTTTTAAATCCTTACAAAATGTACAGCAATTTGACCCTTCAATAAAAAAAAAAATTGGTCCAAAATTAAGGTCTTGGCAAGCTCACAAAAACCGTATTATTTGCAATATTTTCTTAAATTAAAGTTGTAGTTTAAGAAAATATTACAAATAATATGGTTTTTTTGAGCTCGCCAACGCCTTAATTTTGGACAAATTTTTATGAGTCAGGTGTCACATTGCTGGACATTTTGTCAATATTTAAAAAATATTGAATATATTAGCCTTAGCCGGATAGGCTTTGACACATTTAGCATTTATTTTTCATACAAATTTACATGTATTTCATTTCTTACAAAAGAAGTAGAATAAGATATTTATTATATCTTGTAAATGGTTGAACCGAAATAGTTACATCATTTTATACTTTTAATGTAGGAAATCTAATCTTCTTTAATTTGCTAGTATTGTATACAAAAAGTTGATAGTTTTTTAGTTAGTATTTACGAAAATCCTAATAAAGGAACCTTTAGAGCCCCCTGGCCACCTTAGCTTCACTCCCACCAGTCAGTACTTTTAGTATGTTGTTTAGGGACCCTTCCCCTATAACTGTACCAAATTTGACTTATACACGATTTTTTCCCTCTATTTAATATTTTGTTGTCTTCGCTGCCTGGATTTAAGGATACAAAATTTTTTAACCAGTTTTTTTTAGTAGAAACATTTCAGAAATTTCAAAATTTTAACTCCAATACAACACTAGGAACAATAAATGCAGTAATTCGATGTTTAAATAATTGATAGTTGAAGGGTGTAAAATTTGGAAAAAATCTTCATATTATTTTGCATAAACCAGTTTTTTAAGAAAACCAACGGTCTGAAAAAATTTAAAATGGTAAAAATTGCACAAGCGAAGCAATGGGATGAAAAATAGTATTAATAAAACTTTGTGCAAACGCAAAAGGGGTTGAATGAAGTTTGAAGTTGATAAAACAAGAAAGCACACTGGTCCTGGTACTTAAAATTACCTTTATGAAAATGCTGAATACTTTACTTTACTTTGGTGGTAGATATGAATCAATGGAGTTTTTTTATAATATCAATGACCAAGAAACTAAAAGGCTTCATTTTTTGCAAACTGTGGTCAAACTCAATATAGTTGTAAGAGTATTTTATAACTTTCACTGGCACTATCAACTTAAAAGGAACAATAATAATCTATCTATATATTAATAGGCAAGCATGTTTCTTTAAAACCTTTTTTCTCAGCTTGTGTGCATCGTGGGGTAAATCTGCGCAAACCGTTAGAAAGCAATTTTCCTGTAGGTGTGCAGAATCCCTTTATAAATTTAAATAGGCTCAAAGATAAGCACAAAAAATGAGTTTAAAAATTTGAAAAAATTAACATGGATCTTATGCGTTGCCATGCTGGTGACGAAATAACAACTAAATATAAACAGAAAATCAAAACAAATGGAAGAAACTCCAATCACATGTTTTATTTACAGTGTGGGGTGAAAATAGAGAAGTGAGTACATTACATTTTTGGTCGAGCTTCGACCACTGGGCGACCTCTCGTTCAAATAAATAAACAAACAGTGCACAAAAGTTAACCACTTCTACAAGTGTTTAGTCAAATGACAGATTGTAGTGTGCTTCATAGCTCTGTTCTGTATTTATAGGTTAATTCTTAACAACTCATTCAGGAAGTAAAAATGGAAAAATTTCCAGACGCTAATAACAATAAGCTTAAGATTACGCAAAATGGTATCATAAGCAGAGTTAGCTGCATAAAAGCCTTAACAGGTAAAACTTAATGTACATTTTATTAACTTAACCACCGCCATCTCACATTCAGCGGCTACTGACAACCACCACCATTCAGACGATTAGGGGAGAGGGGTCAGGGGCCATGCCGTTAGCATTACAGCCCTAGCCATGCCGTTATCCGCCTTACTAGACTTAAGGAAACCAACAGACCTGTGTATATGTAGCCAGCGTCCTTACATTTTATCACTAAATATACAGTGTCCGGATAAAATTAGAAAACATTTATAAAATTCTGATTTTTATCAATCTCATATGAGCGTAGAACTAGCAAAGTCAGTGGGCTTTGGGCGATCGGCGGGTTTCATCTGATGTCTTAACTGAATTTTGTAGGCGTAAAGTCTCAATCTTTCCTCCCTTGCTACATGGAAACAAAACTTGGTTATTTCAACTCCAATTTGACGTATAAATAGTTTAAGTTTAGTTATCTTGAATAGATCACAAGCAATGACCGTTTAAAATCTTGGCATTCTTATTCAGACACCCTGTATTTATGATTCCGAAAATTCAAAATACCCTTTTATTGTCCTTTACGTAATTGATTATTAATCTAACACTGTAAACATTTATAATTTGCATAGCCTGCATAAATAGTTTCTGAACCAGTTTTGTTTTCAAGACATAAGCTATGGACAGTTCTATTGTCATATTAAAAGGACCCGTCATATTCTTTTAAGTTTGTTCAGTTCAAAGCCCAGAACCAACAAAATAATTACTCAGAAATAAGATATACTAGATCAAAACTTACTTACATATTTTTAACTTTATGGAACCTTTAACTGAATTTATGACAAAGGTTAAGCATTAAAAACTTTATAATTGCTTGAATTTTACTGGACATAATTTTGACTAAAGCGAGGAGGAAGAGTTTTATACTTAGGATCCCACAACACTGATAGGTGTTGACACCACTTTTTACAAATCTTGTTCGATATCATTTTGCCTTACCTAATCTTATCAATTTTATGGTAAAAAAGTACAAACTTCTGATGGCTACCTAATTAGTTTAAAACTGTTTTTCTATAAACTTTCCAAAACAAAAATAAACCAGAAAAGCTCAAATATTATAATTCTACTTAATAATACAACACATTCTGATAACCAAATAGTCTCATCAAAGATTTACTAGGTAGTACACAGGCCTGTTTGTTATCCAAAGTCCATCTTTGACTTGAAAGAGTGAGGTTTTTCACAAGGGGTCCTGATCACCATTCTAAAAGCGACAAACACGTAAAGACGGACCTATCTCCTACATGCAACTCTTGCTGGTTACGTCCGTCAAACGAGACCCAAGCAGTGTTGCGAGCGTCGTTGTTTAACATGACCTGTCAACAAGTTGGGAAAATAAACACAACTGTTCTGATAGACTCGGAACTCTAAGACGATCTTGAAGATTGTTCCTGATATGTGGTCCCCGCAGTGGGCAGGAGCTAAATGGCTATTAGGTTTAGGGGATTGGAATATTAAACTATGTTAAACCTTGCAATGGTCCTCAAATTTTGTGCATCACGGGGTTAAAATAATAAAACGAACAAGGGCAACACAATCTATTATTTTTAAAACCAAAAATAATAGATTATTTTTTGTTGCTAATTAAAAAAGGAATGGTGGTGGTTACCTTTCAAAGTCTACGATTATGATTTTATGTAAAACTGGTGACCATGTTGGGTATTAACAACACATGAATGGAAAACTGAACAGGGAAATCTCTCAATAAATCACAGTTTTTCTAATAAATCGTCTAATTTAATTTAGCGCTGGTATAGAAAAATGTATTTATAATTGTGAGACATTACGTTATCAAAAATGTAGATAGGTGATTTCTTTAAGTAAAAACATTTTATTAACAAAACAAACTTTCCTATAGTAGGGAACCGTAATGAGGCTAAAACCACCGGCCGTCATATATTGAGTGTGAAATTTAACCTGATTTATTATAAATTTGGATTGGGCACATCTAATTGGTTTGTAATATCAGTTTTATTTGTTTTGGGTTTAAACAAATTGATTTAATCAGAGTTTTTTTAATTTGCCAGTTCTACATTCATGTGTTGTGGATAAATTCTTTGTTTGCATTACTCAACATTAACCATTAACTGAATCATATAAACCAGAAAAATGGTTTATTCCAAATTTTAACATAGTTTTTAGAGCAGAAAAATAAATTAAACAGATAACACTGCAATGTGGGGTGGCTGGCGGCAAATGGAACAGCAGAGTGGGGAGGTACCTGTCTCCATGGAACAGCTCCTGTCGGTTGCGACCGTCAAATGAGACCCACGCTGTGTTGCGACTATCTGGTGACACTGAAATCTAAAAATACAATCTACAGTCATTACAGTCTACAACACATAAGAGTTGACCCCAAGTGAGTCAGAATAGGCATTTAAAGTACCTACAATAAAACCTTGTTCTTACCTGGCTGTTAATGATTTAGTCACATACAATGGGATGGAAGTATACACTTCACAAACACTGCAAGCATTGTAGGGATCTTAATCTTGTGGTAACTCCATTCTCTGTCACTGACAGTTAATCTTGTTACTGAAGTTACTTTTTTAAATGTCAAACTGTATTGTTAACTTGCCTCAGCATAAATTAGAATATTATACAAAGAAAAAATGCAGGATTGAAATTGTTACAATATTTACCAATAAGCATCCGGCAGAAGACAAATTTCAAAAAATTCAAAAAACTTTTAAAAGATTTCTTAGTAAAAAATCCTTTTTATTCATTACAAGGATTTGTAGATAAAAAAAATATTTCATTTGCATTTCCATTTATTTTTCATAATGGACATTTGCGTGGATTTAATGTTTTAATGTGTATGATTTGTAAATGATTTTGACTCTATTCAGATACATGTATGTTTTTGTTGTATTAAGTCTGTCTTTTTATCATGTGTTTAAATATGTTTGTTGTCAGATGTTTTTGTAAACATTAGTTTAGTTTGAAAATAGAGTTTGTTCAAGCAAGATGTGTGAATAATATTCTTGTATAAGAAATAGAACATGGTGGCAGCTTAGTGGATTTTTTATCGAACAAAGTCTAAAACCACTCATGATGTCAAGTAAGGGCAGAAAAAAACGAAATACTAGTAGGCAAAGGTATGAGGACAATGAGGAGGATGCCCAAAGTGAATTCAACTACATGTCAGAAAGGGATTCTAGAAAGACTGAAGGTGAGTCACTAGGTTTTGCATTGGGACAGACAAACCGAGAAAATAATGCAGTAATGTGTACTCCTACTCCTATGATAAATCTGACGTTACCAACTCCAGATACCTTCTCTTTTACTCCGAATGAGTGGCATTCCTGGAGGAATCGCTATCAAAGGTACAGACGGGGGTGCGGTCTAGATAGCACTTCCGACGCTCGGCAAATCGATGTACTTTTGTTTACAATGGGTAGTAGGAGTGAAGATATTTTCGATTCGTTTTCACCAAAACCGAATACTTATGACGAGGCTCTTCGGGCCTTTGATGCATACTTTGTGCCAAGACGAAATATCATTTATGAGAGAACAAAATTTCTGAGACACAAGCAAGGGAGTGATCCATCTGAAAAATTCATAACAGATTTGCATGGTCTTGCAAAAACGTGTGCATGGGGTGAACTGAACGATGAGATGGTGCTTCTGGTCCTCATTATTGGTATGAAAGATGAGGCTCTAAGTGATAGACTCCAGCTGGACTCTCAATTGACTCTGGAGAAGGCGATTAATACCTTGCGCCAACACGAGGAGCTAGAACGCCAAAAACGTGAGCTCGCCAATACTAATGTTTTTATGGTGAATCAAACGTCAATACAAGTCGGTAAAACAAATCTGTCTGAAAGAGCTGGTGAACAGAAATTCACCGAGGATGCTATGAGAAAAAAGTGCAGGAAATGTGGTTATAACTGGCACGGATCACTGGCCGAATGCCCTGCTAGGAAAGCCAAATGTGACAAATGTTCCGAGATTGGACATTTTTTTCGATGTTGTCCCTCCCGCGAAAAGTGGATGAGAAAAAACAAAAACGTTGTTAAGGAAATCGAACAGCAAGATTCAGACAGTGGTTATCAACAGGTTCCTGAGATTTTCATAGGGAATATAGACATCAGTGACAAAGCCTGGGTCCAGGAGGTAAAAGCAAGCTGTGGAAACCAAGATTTAGGTCTTATAAAATTTAAACTTGACACAGCAGCTGATGTAACCATGATTCCAGTAGGAGTTCTTGGTGATTTGATTAAGACTCTGCCTCTAGGAAAGTGCAAATCCCCTGTGTTTAGCGCAAAGAAGAAAGAACGAATCAATATTTTGGGAACTTTAAGGCTAAAGCTTGAACATAAGGGTGTATCAGTTTATGATCTTGCGTATATTTCTGAGGAGATCACTGTTCCACTTCTTAGCAGACGTTCCTGTGAAGAGCTGAACCTGGTGAGGAGAATTTTTTCTGTAGATTCACATGGTATTGACTGGGCTACTAAGTATCCTAATTTATTTCAAGGGCTGGGAAATATGAAAGGAGAGTACGAGATTGAAATGAAGGAGAATGCAGTTCCTTACGCTATATCCACCCCCAGGGTTGTACCAATACCTTTAAAAACCAAGGTGAAAGAGCAGTTAGACGATATGCTTGAGAAAGGAGTGATTGTTCCAGTTGAACACGCGACTGATTGGTGCGCACCAATGGTAGTTTGCGCAAAAAAGGGAGGTGGGGTTAGGATCTGCGTAGACCTATCCAAACTCAACAACAGTGTGAAACGTCGGTTTTATCCTATCCCAAAGATCGAACTTTCATTGGCCGAGATCGCGGGAGCCAAGTACTTCAGCAAGATCGATGCGAATTCCGGGTTCTGGCAACTGAACCTTGCAGAGGAGTCACAAGATTACACAACATTTATCACCCCTTTTGGGAGGTATAAATTCCGTAAGTTACCTTTTGGAATTACGTCCGCTCCTGAAGAGTTTCAGCGCCGCATGTCAAAAGCTTTAGAAGGGGCAAAGAACTGTTTAGTGCACATTGACGACTGTCTGATATGGGGAAGAACGAAAGAAGAACACAACGAGTGTCTTAGGGCCGTTCTAGAGAGAGTGCAAGCTAATGGAATCACCTTGAATAAGCAGAAGTCGGAGTTCTGCAAGAAGACTGTGACATTTCTGGGGTTTGTGCTGTCTAAGGACGGAATCAAGCCTGATCCAAGCAAGGTACAAGCGATTGTGGACTTACCAGCTCCAAGAAACGCTAATGAAGTACAAAGATTCATGGGCATGATCACTTTTCTGGCAAAATTTATTCCGAACCGCAGTGAGATTTTGGAGCCAATTACGAGCTTGTTAAAGACTAAAAACGATTTCCTTTGGGGACCAGCTCAAGAAAACGCTTTTGTCACAGTAAAACAGATTTTATCATCAGAGCCATGTTTGACTGTTTACGATCCGCAAAAACCCTCGATTCTTTCTTGCGATGCTTCAAAAAAAGGTCTTGGAGCGGTTTTACTTCAAGTTGAAGGAGAAAACAAGAAACCTGTGGCATATATATCTCGGACTCTAACGCCTGCTGAAGAAAACTACAGTAACATTGAGAGAGAAGCGCTTGCGTGCACATGGGCAAGTGACCGTTTGAAATGTTTCCTGATGGGTAAAATGTACACAATTGAGACCGACCACAAACCGCTTGTCTCAATTTTCAAAACACAAAATTTGGACGAGCTCTCACCGAGGCTACAGCGGTTCCGAATGCGTATGATGAGATACGATTATCGCATGACCTGGACCCCAGGAAAAGACCTTGCCATAGCAGATCTACTATCAAGAAGTCCTATTCCGGCTGACGAAGATGGCGAATTGACCGAAGAAGTGGAAGCCTTCGTCCACGAAATCAGTCTGATTAGTATAAACACTACAGATGAAAATGTGACAAAGGTACTTCACTCACAAATGAGAGATCCAATCTGTGCACAACTTAAGTTACAAATTTTAGACGAATGGCCTGTAAAATCAAGTTTACCTAATGAGATTCAAGAGTACTTTAATGTGAAAGACGAGTTAAGTTGTATTGATGGGCTATTGCTTCGAGGAACTCGGATGATAATACCTCAAGAACTACGAGCGGAAATGCTCGGGAGGCTTCACAGTGGACACTTGGGAATCACAAAAACAAGGAAACGTGCTTTGGGAACCATGTGGTGGCCTGGAATTTCTCAAGAAATAGAAAGGAAAATCAAATCGTGTCCAGTGTGTATTCAGAACTCAACTAATCACAGTGAACCATTGATTCCGAGAACTGTCCCGGATTACCCGTGGCAAAATGTGTCTGTTGACTTGTTCAAACACGAAGACAAGTGGTATACGGTTATCGTGGATCACTACTCAAGATACTTTGAAGTCGAGGAAATGCATCGAATGAGGGCTTCAGATGTGATTCGGGTTTGCAAAACCACATTTTCACGTTTTGGAATTCCTCAACGTGTTTATTCAGATAGTGGGACACAATTTCACCATATTGACTCAAGTGAATTTAAATTGTTTGCAAAGGAGTGGGGGTTCTCCACATTCAGAAGTAGTCCCCACCACCATCAGGGAAATGGGGCAGCTGAAGCAGCTGTGAAAGTAGCAAAAGGGCTAATGAAGAAAAACAAGGATAAATTTGAACTTGCCCTACTTTCTTACCGGACCTCACCTCTTGAAACCGGCTTTTCCCCATCTGAACTTATGTTTGGAAGGAAATTAAGAGACAATCTTCCATCTACTTTGGTTGGAAATCCTGTGGAAAATAAGAATTTTCTTGAGAGGGAGAATAAGTACCAGAATAAGTACAAGATACAATTTGATAAACGACATGGAGCGAGTGGTTTAAGTGAATTAGAAGTTGGAAGCATGGTATGGATCACAGATCTACGTCGACACGGTAAGGTAGTCAGGAAATTGAACGAACCACGTTCCTACCTTGTGGAAACTGACAAGAGAACTATTCGCCGAAACAGGAAGTTCTTAGTTCCTGCACCGTACTACGGAGGAGATGGAATTCTTTCAAACTGTTCATCCATGGTCCTTAATCGTCCATGCAACTCACGTGATCGTCCAGGAGCTGGCACAGTAATCCGTTACGGAAGGTCCATTAAGAAACCGAGGCGGTACTGAGTTTCATAAAGATGTGGACATCTTGAAGCGGGATGTTGTATTAAGTCTGTCTTTTTATCATGTGTTTAAATATGTTTGTTGTCAGATGTTTTTGTAAACATTAGTTTAGTTTGAAAATAGAGTTTGTTCAAGCAAGATGTGTGAATAATATTCTTGTATAAGAAATAGAACAGTTTTATACTTTTGTGGCTTGGAATTGTATGAGTTTTGTAAATTTGTATTTTTTTGGAAATAAATAAATAATAAAAATAATATATGTTATATATTGAATAAAGACTATTTGAATCTTGAATCTTGAACTTATCTTATTTTTATTTCTGAAAATGACCAAAATTTTGTAACAATTTTAATCTTAGATTGTTTATCATTGAATTTCTACTAGCTGTATCCTGTTATCTTTGGTCCTTTGAATCTTTAAATAAGAAACAAACAAAATATTTTTCTCTAATAAAAAAATTAAAAATGTTTACTTTTAGTGTTTATTTATTCTTTACTTAACTATCTTATAAAACTTGAGAAAGTATTAAATGACTTCACTAACCTTGAGCTCGACTCCAGCGGGCACAACAATGGGCCTGAAGGAGAGAGAGTGGGGGCAGATAGGGGTGACCATGATGGCGGGGACGCTGGGATGGATCATGGAGGCACCTGCGGCTACTGCATACGCTGTGCTGCCTGTGGGTGTCGACACAATCAAACCTGCACAGACAAACATGGTTATCATACTACAGTGTGACTGTATAGACCAAATAAACTATATGACCAAATAAAAACACAAATTAAAACTACAGCTACGGTGAACTGTTCTAAAAATTATCATTAAAATACTAATAATTTGCCCTAGGGACAAAACAAACTTAATCATGGCTAAAATAAAATTATGTCTATGGACTCAAAAGACAAGTTTTTTTTTAAGGAAGGCTCTATATAGGTTTCTAAATATCTAATCTAAATATAAAGTTTCACTCATTCCAGCCAAAAGAGCATAATTATTCCAAAATGAAATTTTGAGATAAAACTCATGAAATGAAAAGATACACAACAACTAATTCATAGCTAAACAGAATAGTGATAAGTATACAATTAAAATAATTTGAGATTATTAAAAAAAATATACAGAAAGTAAATTAAAGAAATTAAAGATTTTTTGTACAAAAAAATTTTAAGTTCAGATGTATGAATCCTTGTTACACTCAATTCCTTGCCTTTTAAGTAAAAAAAAGAAAAGAAATTATTCATATAAGCCACATTTACACAAGGCCAGTAGGCAGATAGGTTACACTATATGAGGAAGGTAACCTGCCTGCCTACTACTGGCCACAGTTAACATAACAGTAAAACCTCACTAACACGATACTGGGTAACTTGACAGTCAACAGCTGACAGGGGGCACACAAAAAAGGAAAATTTTTCAGAACATTTATTTTTAATTGTTGAATACTCGTCATTTCTTTGTACATTGTTTACTTAATATGTAAAGATACTCGTGAAAGTAATAAATTTATGTATAAAAGTTAGTCTCTTATGTATTCCTTTATTAAAACTCCTTACCAATTTTAATGTTCTGGATAACTTGACAACACCCAAACTCGACAACCTTTGGGTCGACAAATTGTCGAGTTAATGAGGTTTTACTGTGCCGGTAAATAAATTCTTAATCTCTGCAGGTTAATCAAGTTATTATTGTGTGAGAGCAGAGTATCAAGTGTTTATCCACTTAGTATTTCCAACATAAATCCCTTATTTCAGGTTAGTGTGGGCTACACAATACCAGACAGATGGACCACACAGGACGTATCAAATACAAGTACTTTGTATACCTATAGCCAAAGCTCTCTGTCTCTCTCTTTTCTTGGAATTCCCTCCCGGGGGCTCTGAAACTCAACAATTTTGCTTTCTTCAGAATATGGTTTTATCTTCCAAAATGTTTTATAATTATTATTATTAATAATAGCCATTCTAAAATGTTACAAATTATCCAGGAGTTAAGGCTTGGGAAGACTTACACTTTAAAAGTTGAAATAAAAAATTTTACATGCCAACAAAATTTCTCCACCAAAGTAATGAAATCTGTCCCAAAGCTTTGCAACGTTTTCAAATGTATGAGGGCTGTCTTCATCGAGCTCTCGTCAGGACTTAACAAGCCAGCTAAAACATGAGACCAGTGCTACACTCTGTACTTCATGTTTTACTATTCTAGCTGTTCCCCACCCCTATGTGAAGTTAAGTCTCGTCAAAGTAGCCAAAAAATTATATGAACGATGATGGACGTTCCCCCAATCACAAACTGCATTATGTGATAAATAATTTATCACATACAATTATTGTTGTCGTCTAAGATCTCAAGCACAACTGATGATCTTTGCCAGTTGAACAGATTTGAATGGAGTTAAGTGTTCAGGTATAGATAATGAAAGTAATACATATTAAATAAGGGATTGAAGGAGTTAGGGGGTGGTCGTAAATGATTGTACACTATTTATAATATTTTCCATGTTTTAAGCTGGCTGAGACCTTTCATCAGTCGTTTGAGACAATGATCAAAGTTATGGGAGTTTTACATGCTGATTGTTATGTGACTGAACAAAATATTTCTGAACTGATAGGGATCTCTAATACTACCAACGACTACAGTAAGCCTTAGTAAACACCCCAATCATAGAACGCAAGATTTCCTCAACTTCATTCACTACCTCAATAGAACCTGATGAACACCTGCTTCCAGCCTCCTAGTGCAAAATAATACTGTGTTCTATCCAACTTCCTAACCGCATTTTCTACCTCTGAAACTCTTTAATTTAAAGCATACAACTTTCAACTTCCAATGGATTTTAACTGGCAGGTTCCTCCATTTCCCTCACATTGTTTTTGCTAGTATTACTTGAATTATAATCGGTTAACTTAAACTAACAACATTTTGGGGTTATTTACAGTTTGAGTTGCCTCATTCGACACCTAGAAGCATAAGTCTACCTAAGTAAAATACCCAGTATGACAAGACTAATTTTCGCATGAGAGTGGAAATTTCTAGAATAGAAAAGTGAAGTAGAGAACACAAAATTAGTCTCAGGTTTGAGCCACCTGGGTTGGGGGTGTTGGAACCATCTGACTGGAGTTGGATGGAGACATAAATTCACCAACTGCCCTTGTAGAATCTCTGTGGGCCTTTGGTTGTATATAAAGGAAAAACCATCTCAAGCAGACAAAAAATTCCCACCTATTTACATTTATGATAGTAATATGTCACTAACAAAACTATTACCTAACTAAACATTAAGTTGAGTCGGTAAAGTTTTCATACTAGGTTGCTTGTTAATATATTCTGTATACCTCAGGCTATGAAAATCCAAACCTTTTGAAAGTCTATTTAATGATAAGCTGATTTGATTAATTCACTCCTGGGGCCCTATTTTTGAAATGGTTGACTGTTGAGTCATTCTATTTCCAATCGTTTCGTATTTTTGAAACGATTGACGGTGGACTTATCCAACCAAAACTACTCAACACCTATCGAGCTGTTGAGTGGAGGTTGACTGCACTTTCTTCTTCCTCTCTTTCGGCAAAAAATTGCTCTTTTTGAGTCGACGCCATATTGTTTTGTTATTGCTTTAATTTACTAATTGCGATTTAGAGGTTATGTATTTGTTGTCATAGCACCCAATACTTTATGCAATTGTTAATTTTATTTACTGTGTCAATACTAGACTATTTAATCTATTTACTTTGTTATAAGACAATTTAATTTGTTTGAAATACACTAGGCATACTAATTGAGCTTATTAAAAGATAATTATTGTTATTAGACATATGATTTAAGGTATTAAAGATTGTGGCAGAGAGAAACAATATCATAGCTAGTTTCAATACCATTCACCTAATAAAGGGATCAAATTAATTTAAGTTACGATAAGCTTTCAGTGCAATGGCAAATAGCCATAAGATTTAACCTAAATAAAAACACAATTAAAAATAACATGAAACAAAACGATGAAGAAAACTAAAATAAGGTGATGTGTTCTGAAATAGATACGAAGAAAGCAAATAATAATGTATTTAGGATATGCCTAAACTTATAATGAGCTACACCATAAAACAAACAAACATCCATAGTAAATTTTATTGTTAATACTTATAAGTTTATATAAGGTACTTTTGCAATCACTAAGATTAAGCAAGACATAACCTCAATCTCTCAGGAACGGAGTTGACAGTTCACCTCAGTGTCTCGAAATACGGTAGATTGTGATTAGCTGCCAGATTTTAGAGTAAGAAGAGGTTAAATCGAAGATCGCAAGAACTCTGCATTGTGATTGGTTCAAAATGACGTCATCTGAATTTCGTGCGGTCGTATGCCCTACATTTCCAAAACAAGTCACTCAACTAGTGATTCCCAACTCGCTTCCCAACCGTTGGGTTTCAAAAATACCAAATCCTGTTGTTGGTTGAGTTGAGTGTTGACGATAGACTCAACTGTCAACCATTTCAAAAATAGGGCCCCTGCAGTGAAAAAAGATATTTTGTGTCCAGTGTTAACTACTTTTCTTTTAAAACTGCATTTAACCATATGCAGAGAGAAAGAGAGGTCTTTGGCTTTTACAAATGTGTTTGCTAACTATTTATCAAACACCTGTGTTCACACATATCCACAATTTTATGTTTTATGTGTCTAAGTAAGAATCAAATGTACTCAATAAAACAGTGAGGAACTAAGGTATGCTTTATCATTATGTTTTAGATGTTTTAACTCGTTACTTTATAAGATTATAAAAGGGTATAGAATTACAATCTTATGTCATTAATCTGTCAGTACCAGGGGAGCGAGTATTTGCTCGAGGTTTTTGATTTGTTCAAGAGGTTAAAAAAATTAAACCTATAAGCCTAAAAATATTTTCAGTTATGCAATGATTAATTAAGTTATAAAGTCAATTTGTATTCACTAGACATTCACTCATTCTTAATATTACCTAAAACAACTATTTCATGTGGAAGAGCAATCTATATTGAAAATTTCTACAATAAACTTCATTATAAAAACTCATGATATCTGTTGACGTTATTGTGTTAGTCACTGGGATCGCGAAACAACACATGAATTCCGGCGGCGCATCATCAAAAACTACAAAACGTCCTTGGCATTTCCTCTAGAATTTTTGTTCAGTAGCATAATGTTTTGCGGTAAAAGACTTAACGTTTTTAAACAGTTGTAATTATCCCTTTGGTTATAATACATCATACGCCCCAAATGAATTATGTAATCAATGCTCAATAGCATTCATAAGAATGTGCTTTTCCTTTGTACTGTTACAAGCATATGTTACAATTCATTTAATACATTTTATTAAAACTGCCATAGCTACTTGACAGTCCATAGAACTAATGTTAAAAATATTAAAATTTCATTTGAAGTTTTTAACCAAAAACAAATTTTCCCAGATAATGTTTTGCGGTAAAAGACTTAACGTTTTTAAACAGTTGTAGTTATCCCTTTGGTTATTAATACATCATACACCCCAAATGAATTATGTAATCAATGCTCAATAGCATTCATAGGAATGTGCTTTTCCTTTGTACTGTTACAAGCATATGTTACAATTCATTTAATACATTTTATTAAAACTGCCATAGCTACTTGTCAGTCCATAGAACTAATGTTAAAAATATTAAAATTTCATTTGAAGTTTTTAACCAAAAACAAATTTTCCCAGATAATGTTTTGCGGTAAAAGACTTAACGTTTTTAAACAGTTGTAGTTATCCCTTTGGTTATTAATACATCATACACCCCAAATGAATTATGTAATCAATGCTCAATAGCATTCATAGGAATGTGCTTTTCCTTTGTACTGTTACAAGCATATGTTACAATTCATTTAATACATTTTATTAAAACTGCCATAGCTACTTGTCAGTCCATAGGACTAATGTTAAAAATATTAAAATTTCATTTTAAGTTTTTAACCAAAAACAAATTTTCTCAGAACAGAGCCTAGCATGGATATTGTGTTTAGCCTAAAACTCAGATATTTCTAACAATTTAGAGGAAATCATATGATTCCTTTTCAAAATCATTGTGCGCAAACGTTACTCTTATTATAGTGTAGATTACTTACCGTCGCCTTGCACAGATGTGATATGTTTGCCGTCCAAGAACAGGTCGATGTTGGAGAGGTAAGGTGATGGTCCTCGGTCAATCACAACCTCATTGAGGACCAGCAGGTTGGTGGGTGGCTTGGACTTAGACACTTCTTCGTTTTTGCGCATGATGATACACCTTAGTCTGCTGCGAAGAGTCAGAGCTGCGTGGCCTGCAGTCACGGACAGAACAAACAATTTATTTAACTCACAGAATGCTTTTTGCTTTACAGTTGTGCTTGAAGCTTGTATTGGACAAATGTCTTTATTTAATCCATTTGCGGACTTTATTTGTTTCACTTAGATTTATGATGTCCTCATCTCACAATGTCAAAAATATGTATATCGTGTTATTAAATTTTTTTATTTCATAATAAGCTATCAATCTTTTATTAAAAAAAACACACTTTATTACCTTCCCTGAAGCAGCAAACATAAGTACTCATTAAACCTAATGTTTATTTAAATAGGGAAAAAATCTGAAATTTGTACGGAAATATTTTAGTGAAAATTTGATCAGTATAATGGAAATTTGCTTAGTCTGCAGGTTTGCTGCGGGTGTATTTTATCTTGGAACTCTTTATGTCTAGCCTAGAGTTAACACTTTCAATTAATCAAACTGTCCCAGCCTTGATTTTCTTTTTCTCCCCAAAACCAAAATTAAAGCATATCCACAAGCTTTTGATTATGTTTTGATGAAGTCACATACAAAGTCTTGAGCTTTTTCAAATTTGGGATTTCTTAAGGATAACCCGCGCTTAATAGTTTGCTAATGTCAACAATTACCTTATAACACATTACTTCATAGTCTCATAAATAAACCCCTTTGGCAAATAAGTGGAACTGTAGATACTCTTGAGTCCCAAACAAATTTAGCAGTTCAAACTGAGCACCTTGTCTTGGGATGTTGCCAGAACTCACCAACAATGTTTCACTTATAAATTCTCTATGACCAATTTTAAGTTATCTATTGGTGAAATTAATTTAATGGTTCTATTTATTTAACTTTTTATAGTTTACAAACAAAATCAAGTGAATTTATATGTCTTAAAAAAACTAGTAATACATTTTTAGGACAGTAGTTTACATTGCAAACTGTGGATAACTCGATAAGTATACAAATTTTATAGTATGACTTTGCTGCTAAATAAAATAACTCGTTAACTATTAGAATATTATTTAGTACAAATTCAACATGACAAAGCCTGTTATAGAGATAGTACATATAAAAACTAGACTCCATTAAAAACTAGATTAAAATTGATTATTTCTCAAATATGTTTTCTTGAACATAAGACTTAAATCTAAAATGTAATCAATCTTTGAGATAAGTTTAAAGATAAATTAAGTAATTAATGATATTTCATAACTATTCTAGACAATAGATTGTTTTAAAATTAATTTTAGTACATAAACATTTTAGCTGCCTAGACCGTATGCCTTACTCACCCTTTGCCAAGGGGTCTCCAAACTTTTTCACAAAAGGGCCAGATTTAAATATCTTGGAGGCCTGGCGGGCCAAAGGGTTTGAGGGTATGGATTACAAAATTATACTTGCAAAGTCGATATTTTAAGCACTCAAGACGAAGAAAAAGTTTAAACTCTTGTAATCTGAAAAGAGGAGTTTAAGTACAAAACTTCCTTTCTTGGGTTAGTGTAATTTCCGAGTTGTTATTTTACTAATGAAATGTATAACTAAATTAAAATATTCAACAAGGCCAAACTAGGTTTCCATCGTCAGGCTGTGTTTACACTAGTACAAAAAGTAAATATTTACTTAATAATAAATGAAAAAATTTGGTTATTTTACTGTTGGTTTATAAAAACCAAATCTGAAAATGGCCACCCGCCACTGGGGGAATGGGAGTCATCTTGGTTCAGCTACAGCTATGACCATAATTTTATCGCACATCACTCATGCCGCGTTGTTTATTGTTTTTGTGGCTGTACAAAAACCTCTAGCGGGGGGCCGTAGTTTGGAGACTGCTGGTTTAAACTGTTAGGCCTATGATGTTTTTAACCTCTTAAAAATAACTTTTACTGGATTGAACTGGAAGCACACGTGGGAAATATTAAACTTATGTATGAACGAAATCATAGTGATGACGTATGAGATTCCTTTAGTGGCTTTGCTAGCTAAGATCAGCCCATTAGTTATAATCCCACACCAATCAGGTATGATAAGTTTGTTGTTGATTTGACAAAGCTCTATGATCAAGGACAGCTGGGTCCAGTTTTGTGGGGGAAAACACAGAACAAGTTAACTTACCTTCCAAAACGTTGGTGACTTGTTCCTGGAAGTTCTCAAACTCGAAGGGTGTGAGAAAGCCTAGAGAGCCGAGATGGAACGCCATCACAGGAGGAACAGACTGTTGGAAGAGCAAACTGGCGTATAGCAATGTGCCATCCCCTCCCAGACAGATAATGAAGTCTGGAAAAAGTATTTGTCAATTGAAAACAGACGATATTGGAAAAACTCATGATACTGCTTAGTCCAATGCTCTAGAATTTGTGCAAGATGGTCCATGGTTTATAGTCTTCATTGTGTAATTCTTTACTATGTATATTTTTTATACTTCAAGTTCAATAACGATCCTTTACACACACAAATAATAATGAGGTTCTACTTAAAGACACCAGCGTTACTCACCTATTTTATCTGTAAGGTCATCTTTGCCGTCTCGGAATGTCATGAGTTTCTCCTTGACGTTGGAAAAGTCAGAGTTGGCCACCAACAGAGAGTCATCCATGACTGACTGTTCCACAAACACCACCATGCGCTTCTCCTGAACACAAGGATCACCTTCAGTAAGGCAAGTTTACAAGCCACTAGCCAGCAGGTAGATAGGCATGCTTGTTGGCGAGTAGAAATACAACCATTATACCAACTCCTTTGACATCCTCTAGACTAATCCTGCTTTAAAACTTTTTGGGTTTTCCCAGATTCAAGAACTTAAATTAAATTACAGTAGAACCTCTTTAATCCGAAGCCCCGTAATCCGAACACGTCCACTCATCCGAACCCCTCATTGCTGTACTCAACACAGTACAGCAGTTCTTTATTGTAAACTGTATTTAATTTACAGTACTGTTTATTCACAATGTTTCCTACTGTATTAAATAAACACTGTATTTTACTTTATAAAACATTTTTTCACTTTTCCCAAAATAATGTTCATCAATTTTAGCCATGTTTTAGCTATTGTTATGTAAAAACAACAATATGTTCTGTAATCCGAACTATTCAATAGTCCGAACTACCCCTGGTTCCAACTAGTTCGGATTAAAGAGGTTCTACTGTAGTTATAATTGGCATGCTTGGATAGTATTATACAATCTAGTTTGATTAAAGTCTGGTGAGTTGTGAAAGACGTTGTGTTCTATATTGTACAGCTGTTTTGCTTACAACAAGCAACATTTGACATATATCAACAGACCACCAAATAGCATCTGTTTAAGATACCAAATTTCAGAGCCAGACTGCTATAAATTAAGGTACGGAATATGAAAATTATTGGGAGTTTATCTCTCTCATTCTCCCCCCCACCCCCCCCCCCCCCCAATTAGGCAATGATTGTGCTATAGCTGAACAAAAACAGTTTTAAAAACATGCAGATTTAGTTTGATTGGACATTTTTTTGTAAAACAGTCTGAAAAAAAAACTATTTACTTAAAAATAAAGTCTATGCCAAACAGAAAGTATTTCCACTGTGTCCACCACAAAGCTCAGCTTATGATACTCAATATTATAAACAAAGCCTTTTTATACCTAATATTTTTACACCAGTCGTTTTAAAAGAAGTAGATTTTTGCCACGCTACACTGTGTTATAAGACTTTTATTCAACAAATTAATAATCGAAAAAATATCCTCTCTTAGAAGTAATGGGTAGTGATTGTTAAATCCTATAGTCAGTGGGAATATATTACGGATTTGTAGTATTATATTGTTTGTTAGGTTATTTTAGAGTAGTATGGCAAAATATATTGTACATCACTGTGATAAATGATACATTTTGCTTACTACTCTAAACTAACCTAACAATAAAAATACTACAAATCCTCGTAGGGTTATCACACACTTGACTTTGTCTGGCGCGGGAACAATCATACTCGTCCAGTAAACACCTATTTTCTGGACTAGTAATGTAATGTAACGTAATAGTATACTAGGTGGCGTTCGCAGATGCATCCACAAAATTGAGCGGAGTCATCAAGGGTTCATATTACATTGTTTTTGTCATACTGCAGTAAAAAAAGTCGTCATTGATGCATGCGTTCCGGGTCTAAAGTAGCATTTTTACTCTTTAGGAAATAAAATTCGTTTTTAGCCTCTATGGAGTAAAACTCAGCTGTTGTCAACTCAGTTGTAATATTGTAAACGATTGAATACGTATCGAAATATGTAACGATTCGTGCTTCATAATCATTTTAACCAGTCTCTTCCCATAGCATTTTAGCATTGCAGATACATTAATCCATCCCCACACTCAACACTGCCCACCTTTACTACTTCCTTCACAGGTAAACAGGTCCGTGACGTAGGAAGAGATGAAGGAAAGTAAAGGCAAGTTTTTCGGAGTGTGGGAACTGTTTATGACGATTAGATTAAGGTATCTTGGTATCTACAATCTTAAAATTCTATGGGAAGAGAGGGAAACAGGTCTGCGACGTAAGAAGAGGTGAAGGAAGTAGTAAGGTGCGCAGTGTGGAGTTTGGGAACTGGAAACCGTTTGTAGCAGTTAGATTAATGTATCTGCAATGCTGAATTGCTATGAGAAGTGATGGAAGCATGCCCACAAAATAGAAAATGGTGAAAAAAGTAGTAAAGGTTAGCAGTGCGGACCTGTTTCCCTCCCTTTCCATAGCATTTTAGGGTTGCAGATACCTTAATCTAATCGTCATAAACAGTTCCCACACTCCGAAAAACTCGCCTTTACTGATTCCTTCATCAGTTCCTACGTCACGGACCTGTTTACCTCCCTTCCCAGAGCATTTTAGGATTGCAAATACCTAAATCTAATGGTCATAAACAGATCCCATACCCCGAACATATCGCGTTTACTACGTCCTTCGCCACTTCGTACATCGCGGACCTGTTTCCTCCCTTTCCATAGCATTTTAGGATTGTAGATACCTTATTCTTATTGTCATAAACAGTTCCCACACTCCGGACAGCTCGCCTTGGCTACTTCCTTCACCACTTTCTACGTCGCGGACCTGTTTTCCTCCCTTCCCATAGCATTTTAGGATTGCAAATACCTTAATCTAATGGTCATAAACAGATCCCATACCCCAAACATATCGCGTTTACTACGTCCTTCGCCACTTCGTACATCGCGGACCTGTTTCCTCCCGTTCCATAGCATTTTAGGATTGGAGATACCTTATTCTTATTGTCATAAACAGTTCCCACACTCCGGACAGCTCGCCTTGACTACTTCCTTCACCACTTCCTACGTCACGGACCCGTTTTCCTCCCTTTTCATAGAATTTTAGGAATGCAGATACCTACCTAAATCTAATCGTCTTAAACAGTTTCCACACTCCAGACTGCTCACCTTTACTACTTCCTTTACCACTTCCTACGTCACGGACCTCAAGCTAGTGTCGTCATTTGATTATATTTTTGATCCATACCACCGTTTATGTTCTAATATCTGTGGAATAATGCCTTCAGCTATTTATTTATCTACTGCATTCAAAAGTCATCAGCTGATCATATTTCTTTGTTTATGTGTCAAATACTGCTTCCATAAGGATTACATTGAAACTTTGAGACCCAGTGGGGCGGATTCCCGAGAGACTTTTTTAGAGCTATATAGATGTTGGCACTCACCGGTATGGTCTTTATCACCATGCAAAATTTGAAAACGATTGATTCACCCGTCTAGGAGGAGTTTGCGTATTACGAAATACATAAAAGTCGACGTATAAGAGCTCCGCTCAATTACGTTACTACCGGTAGTCCTGAAAATAGGTGTTTACCCGACGAGTGTGATCGTTCCCGTGTGAGACGAAGTCGAGTGCGGGATTACCATACGAGTCCGGCAAACACATTTTGGACGAGTGACGTACGATATTTTATGCCATACTACTCTAAGCTAACTTAACAATAAACAATCTGTATAAATCCTTATATATTCCTACTGACTAAAGGATTAACGATCATTACTCATTGCCCACTCATATAACCACTCATTGCCAAATATAATCAGCTGGTTGGGGTCCGGTAAAGCTCATTACAGTACAGTAGTGCGTAATGAAACCCCATTTCATTAAGCTGGCGGCAAAAAGCTGTTTTCTGGACTAAATCCTTGCGTGGGAAGTTTGTTAAAACAGTGTAGTGTGGCGTAATAGTATATTATGCTACTAGATTGTCTGACGTTCATCCACAGAATACGGAGTAGGCACAGTAACTGTATTGTCTACTCTTTATTCTGACTTTGAATTTAGAGCAACAATGCACTTTCAAACTGTGTGTTATATGAGGATCACTCACCTCTATGAGCCAACGGACGAGTTGTACGAAGGGACTCAACACAGAGACATCTCGCACCTTCTTGATGACAAGGACAGTGAGAGGAGGCTTGTACCAGGTCAGTCTCTGGCTGGCTGGGTCCTGTATGGTCCTGCACAGCACACACAAACAACGGAATTAAATACCCTACTATACTTAACAAGATGAGAAACCAAAACAACAAACAACTATGAAAAGGATTTTGTAAATAGACCTAATAAATTCTTCCAGAGCAAAAACATGCTCTATTTTTTACCAAATAATCAGCTTTCGAGCTTTCAAAAAGGAACAGTAAAATAAATACTAACAAAGTATCAAATAAGGGTAGACCCATAAATATTAGCACAAAGAGATGGATTATGCAACCTTTTTACTGTTTTTTATGACAATAGTTTCCAAATAAAAAAAAATATTTATCAAAGAGTAGGACTTGACAAGAATGATTTGACAACTAGGCAACCTAAGCCTTGAAACTATAGTCATTGCAAAACCATAGGGGATTGACAACATTGAAATGGCAACATGACATTTTTATTTTGTATTGATTTTCAATTTAAGAGGCAAATAATATGTATGAATTAATTGTATGTTACTGTAATCTTCCTCAATATCAAAACAATACCATTATTGAAACTAAACTGTTCATTATATTTGCAGAATTTCTGATTAGTCCATTAAGCATCGTGAATAATTTTTGCAGTGTTATTTATTTAGCGCTATCAGGTACATCTTGGTTCTGAATAACAAATTTATAAGCGAGAGACAGAAGAGAGGAACTGTCCCCGTTACTTACTATGAACAAGGGCTTATATACAACTTTTTATAGACTTGTATTTTATAAATTTTTTATTCAGAAAAATTAAAAATTGAAAGCACATGGACAAGATAGTTGCTAGTGTTTATAAAACAGGATTAACAAAATTCAATGCTCATAGAGCTTTTAACAGTGACCACATAGAATCAGTAAAAATTTGCATTTGCACATAAAACACATGGCCATCAATTTACGAAATTCCTAGACTCGTAATGCAGGTGTTTGAATTTAAAATGTTATACCCGAGGAAATTACTAGAGATGATCCAAGAAGGCTTCATGACACTGTGTTGTGTCTACTATCACTAGTCACTAGTCACTTGAAGAGTAACACTAAACACTAGTAACATTAACACACAACACTACACCTTGCATACATTAGCATTATTGTCCAATGGATTAACTCATGTCTTCTGTTTGTAAACATGTATCTCAATATCATCAGTGTTTTACATGTTCCAATAGTAAAGGTCTACTGATTTTTGATTGCTGGTAAATTATTTACACTTGGTAACACCAGCTGTCCAACATAAACACAGCTTGGATATGAAGGTATAAACTAGTTCATTTAGTGACCTTAAATTAGTTAAATTATTAACCATCTGCCACTTTATTTTTGTAACCAAAGATGTTTTCTCCACAGCCTATAAATTTATTCAACTAGACCATGGTAGTAGACTAAAAATAATACTAATCAGAACTGTAAACTTGTTCAATTTTGTAACATCTTAAAAGAAACACAAACAGCAAATGTTAAGACATGACATTCTGAGAAGGCAATGACTGATAACAGCCTCTCTGACCTTGTTATCTAACCACTCAGTGACCTTGACAATTGCAATGATTACTTCTATGTATCACAGGGTTTCTGGCTTGTGATGTTAATGCTATCCTGTGACCAATCAAGGCATTTATAGACAAGCAATGATTATGTTAAGTTTGTTAGACTGATATTATAAATTAAAATTCCAATTTAAGTGGAATTACAACAGATTTTCTAGCGAGTTGCTAGTACAAACACTTGTGGGGAAATCAATGTTGGTTTAATTCCTGGCTTATAAATCTGAAATATTAAAGTGTAGGCCTAAACAGTATTTTGCTGATGAACTATTTGATTAACAAGAAGTTTAAATTGAAAACAAACCTAATGAAGACAAAATTAAAGATAATCTTGGTGATTCACGTACCTATGTTGTTTGCATTTTTTTTTAAATCTTCAAGTTTGATTGCATGGAGTAAATAATGAACCCCCTGCACATTTATTCTATAATAACTCTATCTGAATAGAGAAAAGGTTTGTGTACAAGTTCCTGCAATTGAAATGCCTTTTAACACATTCACTTCTGGGTGTAAAGACCTCTCATACAGAGGAGTGTGATGTGTTAAACACGTGGACAGTTTAAGTGTAAAACACAATTATTTATTTTATAACCACAAATAGAGATTCTGAGAGTTTCTTATTTACTTGAGCTACATGAACTTGAACCTAGAAGTTGGACCTTTTTTATGAATCTTAAGAAAATTCGCAAACAAACTTGATGTCCAAATTTAGATTTTTTTTATATCCAAAAACCTATTTTCGAACAAATAAACCAACAAAATTGCATACAATGTGACTAAACACCAATGAGATCTCACGTTGGCTAAAAACTTACTAACTAAACACACTAGAGATGGTGTGAATTACTGAGTCACATTCCAGAAAAATTATCGATAATGATGAATTAACAAACAATAAAACGTTACCCTTTTAATTCTGGACAGTCGTTGGGAGCAACAAGCAACAGATTTGCGAAAATCATCATCAAAACCGCCATGATCATCCTCGCAGCACAATGAGGTATAATTAAAAGCTAACCCACAACAATTCCCGGCACCGCAGAAATTGCGACCAGCAGACGACGCATCAGCTGCTCTACTCCCGTCTCACGACGACAGCCGTCAGCTGTTTTTATTGTTGTGCTATTTCAATCTCCAGCTACGCACTCACCCTTCAAACTTTCTCCGGCTTGTTTTCGCCAATTACAGTTGGATTTGTTTGGGCCACGCCGACAGCCATAACGTGAAATAGTTTTCATATTGACAATGTAAGTTGTCTATGAATCCAAAAACGATATTAATAATCATGCCACAACTTGGGCCGTGCGAGAGTGTAAACAAATTATATAACACACCTCAAGGTACAATTTGGGTTGAGAAACTCTTGTGTTGATCGAAGATGTTATTGTAGTTGCAGTATTATTACGTTACTCAATAATTTTGGGTGTGGGTACAAATTAATGCACACAATAAATCTCAATTAATTAATTGATTATTGATTTAATTCTTGTATGTTTAACTCTTTTGGAATTTACCTAGCTCCAAAATCATTGAGAAGAGTACACTTTTTGGTAAAGTTAAAACAAGTTTTATGAAACGTAACAGGTAGGTTTGTTCAGTTTATCACATAGCCTATTATCTATTTTTCAACCATTAGGCTATTTTGGTGTTTGTATTAGCATAGATAAAACGGACTAGGTTTTATCTATAGTATTAGTCATAGTCTAGTTACTAACGTCATTAGTTTCAGGGGCGTCATTTGGGGGGGGGGCAGGGGGGGCATTTCCCCCCCCTGGATCCTGGGCTAGAGAAAAAATATGCTGTACTAGCCAATATAAATATATTTTCTTCTGTCAAATCCTAAAAAGCACAGCAGACAAAAAATCTGTATATTCTTGTACAGTAATTTGAAACAAAAATTATTATTGTTTTATTGTCTTAGATAGCACATTTTGAGTTTACATAAATTAGTAGTTTTGTTATTCATTTACTTTTTCTGTTTGGTGCTGTACGATAAACCACTTACTTCTAGTTTATATATATACTAGCTGTTGTACCCGTGTTTTGCAACGGGAAGAGGACGCAAAATCTATACATTGTAATTTTCATACTGTTTCCATGAAAACATATCAATAACATTTTTTTCATACCTTTAGACGCTTTAAAAAATCCAAAGCAAGAGCCGGAGTTGATACAGCAACGGTTATAGAATCTTTTTTTCTATAATCATTGACATAGTTTTAGAATAAATAATCCATGATAAAAGGTTAGATTAAAATAAACCTACCTCATAGTTATGGAAAATATTATATTTAATTTCTTTGTATCAGCTGTCTGAAATTATGAAATATGCAGTTTAGCAGTTCTTCTTGTTTACATTTAAATGTCAAAGCAAATGTAAACAAACATTGTTAGTGTTCTCATCGCAGCCATGGATACCAATCAATATTTACTTTTAAAATGTTCTCATCAGAACTTTTAAAGCCAAAGGGGCAAAGCCTACGGTCAGTATCGAAATGTGAATAGGCCTAGTCCTATAATGGTCCTTGGTATGGTAACTATATTCTTTGTAAAATTTAAACTCAGTTGGTTCAGTAGTTTTTGCACCTATTAGTAACACACATACAGACAGACACCATTAGATTTTTATATAATAGTATAGATATACATACAAATTCAGATTTTTTAGAAGCATTGCTTTGTCATTTACTTTTATAAATTATTCAAGCATTAAAATTGTACATGTGTATACATTTTACGTAATTTATTTTGAACATTTCAGACTACCAATTTAATATTTAAATAGAACCTTTTGTACTTTCGTGTCAAATTATTTTATTGGTGATAAAAATTTATTTGCTTTTAAGTTCTTAAATACTTGTATTTTTATTTAAAATCCAAAATAAACTGTTATAAACTATAGGCTATGAACAACCGTATTCATTGCTAAATGTTGTACAAGAGAAATTTGTCATGAATCTAATAACAAACATAATATTAATACATCATGGAACTATTGATCACGTTTCTTAGATGACTAACTTACCAACATAAAATTATTGTGTTTCTGTCTGTTGTCAATAATTCTTAGTTTCATTAACTTTCTGCCTAAATTTAAATAAATTTTACTCATAATTTTTTTTTTATTTGAAGTGCTTTTGACAATTAAAATAAGCTTAAACCCCTCTTTTTTTGTTTCAAAACTGCAAAATTTTCCAGCCCCCCTTGTTTGCTGGGGGGTATTCCATACCCCCCGGTGTTTGCCCCCCCCCCCCAAAGATTTGTTGAAATGACGCCACTGGTTAGTTTTATTTTTAAATTCAAACTTCGAGAGAATAGGAAAGTATTTCTTTGTGTCAATAGAATACGGGACTGACTAAAGTCACTGACCATTTGCTTTATGAATAATGTCAATGGTTTGATTGTTAGAACTAAACCACGGAATAAAATTGAACGTAAAGATGCTTGACATAAATTCCACGTACGTAAACCATTACCAAAACGTAACACCTTGCCTTACACAGCTGACCTTGAATTTCAGCGTAATGGTCAGACCAGTGAGAAAGCTCAAAATTCCTCATTTCATAATCCAACCAAGTCTACTAGTCCATTGTCAACCACGGCTGTCAGTTACACGGAAATGCACTATGAAACACTCCTCGCACCGAGCAATAAATAATCACCCGTCCGTGGAATACTAAACAGAGGGTTGGAGCAGCTAGAGAACAGGGATGGACGAGAGAAAGTCAAACTAATATAGTATATAACTAAAGTAGTAGGAAAATAGTGACTTCATTTGCTACATACACTATTTTAGTATTCTAACTTCAGGAGTGTTTTACGCCAGGAGTATTGTAGATTACTCTTCAGAGAAAATTTAAGGTTGGTGTGCACCAGTGTATAGTTGTGTACTAAACTAGTAAGTTAATGATAAATTTGTGCTAAAATATACTCCTACCCCCTAGTAGGTGTAAGTTATGGAGTATTTCGTTTTAAATAGGGTTAACCATGTATATTGTTTTCAGTAGATTGTATTTTTATGTTAACCATGGATTATGCTGAATAGGCCTACATAGACTATTTATTGAATGCACCAAATGCAGTACGGTTCGTGATAAGAGAGACCCTATTGAAATATCAATTACCTATTATTGTTTAATTGGTAAAACAAAAATAAACAAAAAAGTAGAAACTAATTTATACATGAAATACTTTTTTTAAATACCACGTTTTTAAACGCCCTGAAAAGTAGAAAATAATTTTAAATATATGGAGAGAATAAATAATACTTGTAAGAATAAGTAATACTTAAAACGAAAAACGTGGGGCGCATGTAATAGATAATAATAAAGAGGGGGTAGCTGTCGATTTGAAACAAATAAATTAACACAGTACATCGTGTATGTATGATTTACATCTATATTTCCTAATTGAGGTTAAAAATAGCTAATAATAATTCAATCTGTGAAGATAATCGTAAATTAGATATTGCATGTGCCCCACGTTTTTCGTTTTATACCTTACAAGGATTTATTCTCTCCGCATATTTATAAATTAATATTCAAATATTAATTTTATAATCAAAATTATAAAAATAAATATAAAAAAGATAAAATTAAATGAAAATGAAATAATTAAACAAATTAACTATTTGAACACGGAGGTTTTAACAATAAAAAACAATTTTCAACACAAAACTCTTGAAGGTTAATACTAATTTGCACAAAACACAAATAAATATTGCAGTATTTCTATATTTTGAGGTTATGTACTGCGCGGGACTGCAAAACTAACAGAGTATTCACAGAAACTACAGAAGTTTCAACTAAAGAAGCATCCTGTACTTGAGCTCTCCAAACAAATCTCCAGTAGTAAAATACTTCTGTAGTTGAATACTTCTTGTGTTTTAACTACAGAAGTTTCACTTACTAATGTAGTATATTTTACTGATTTGGTGCTCGTCACCCTAAGAGAACAGGGATGGACGAGAGAAAGAGAAGAAAGAATGGCCTTGAGGGGTTCTCAAGGGCAAATCTTCCTTCCTCTTCCTCATTTCTCTCTAAGAATTTCGTTACGTCTCGAATTGTGTAATCGTGGACGACCAAATGTAGACAACGCGTTGGCAGTTGAGATCAAGACTTTGGGGAGTAGTGATTGATTGAAGCTGGAATGATTGAAAATTTTCTAATCATTGTCGTACACTACGACGCCGTGTTAAGTTTATTTTATATCTACAACTTGACAGCGGTTCGTATAAACTCCCATATTACAATATGTGATGTTTATAAATGGCGCAACGACCGATACAAGTTTATAGGTACAGCATACAGTATTACACAAATACCTCCACCGAATCAAACCTGCAGACTAAGCGAAATCGTCTGATTGGAAAAATCCACAATCAAGCAAACTAGAACAGTTTTCTTTTTGCCCGTAAAAGAATAACCCGTAAAAGAATAACATGTGAGTTTTAAATGTAAATTTTTTTCTACGTAAACTTTTATTTTATCTTAACACACATTGCATATTTTACAGCACTTGCACGGTGAAATTTACGAAACTTAATTGGTCAGGGATAAGACAATGAATAGTTAAGATGCAGTAACCTTTTAGGTAAAGCTTTTGGATCAAAACTGATATAAGGATGATTTTCGATGAAACAGCATCCATCAACAAATTAGACGGCGCCAAACTCTGTCCAAGCTGTCAAACTAATTAGTTAAGTCGATAAAGCAATATTTTAAATCATGTAAAACCTATGAGAAACAAGCATATAGATATTTATTAACTTTTCCGAATGAAAGTAGGATTTGTGAAGAATACCTGTCAATTCGAAAGGGCGATGCAACCAATTTCAACAAGTATTTTAACAAAAACGTATTTAAAATAACGTTTAAAAGACATCTCTATTGTTATAACACATGTACGTTACTAACTCAACCACAACCCAATGTTAGGATTATAGGATCCAGGGCATCACCTTTTGGAGATTGTTCACAATATACAGCAGACAAATAATGCAACATTAACGACAAAAAGTGTCGCAAGGCTATTGATAGTGCAAGAGGTGCACCGACACATTGCCATTATACTGGTGCATGTGTGTGACACATAACGGCGCACTGATGTTTGGTAACAGTGTACAGTATCTAGTACGACCCACATCGATGTTAAAGGACCATTAAGGTTAATCCACCGAGGCGGGTGTATTGGGTAAGGTGATTGAACGATTATAGAACACAACTACTTCGGTTTTCTTTATTGGGCCAATTGCGACACTGGAGATACGAAGGGGTATGTTTGAAACTCTGCTAGAACGGTGCAGTTAATAGTCATGGTCGCGGTACACCATCTAAGTCCTTGAATTGGCTCTAATCATTGCTGGACTCATATACTTTCTGGATCCTACCTACAACAATCGCATTTACATAACAAAGATTTCTACAAGGTTATAATGACCGACATTCAAATTGTTTGACGTCGAAACTCCAGTCATGTAATTAATTGCAGATAATTTGCAATTGAAGCAGGAATTCTTTCTATGACTATGGAAATTTTACAATGTTCCCTATTATTGACTAAACGCTTTTGTGTTTTAAGTCATGTAACAGCCGGTAGAGAATGTGTTTTAAGGGAAAATCACTCATGATTCGAAGTTAAAATATAGTGAAAACGTTAAAGTATTTATGGTCAGAAGAGGTGTAAATTATGACTTCTCTTACTGCACATTACACGACTAATCTTTATTTGTTATTATAATCTTTACTTTTTTACTGATAATCTAAATTCTGAGACGTGTGGTAAATGAGGATTCAGTAGATGTGATTTTCTAGTACTTTGTCATTTTCAAACAAGGTTAGGCTGTTTATTACGAGTTAGTCACATGTTATAAGTTGTTGATGGGGTAATGTTTTTGGTTATGGTTATAATATGTATTGGTCTGATGTATTCTTGTACTATTTTTTACTACTCATGTTGTTACTGCATTTACGATGTTTATCTACTACTGTACTAGTTAAATATAAAGTGATTGAAAACTAGGATAGCCATTAGCGAGTACATCTCTAAGAAAACTAGCTTACTAGTATTAAAATAAATAGATTACAATAGTCAGCCATTACAATTTGGAAAAGTAAAAACCTCTGTTGAATAATGTATAAAAATACTTACATGACCATGGCAGAATTTTTCATTATCCGACCACAAGGGCCGAACTGTTGTATGGGGCTGGGAGCATTGAGGGACCGGGTCCTCCTGTAACACACAACATCATATTTGAGACAAAGAGTAAATTTGAGTCCATGGTTACAGTACTCACATGCACACAAGGAAATGTGTCTGCGAGTCATGGGAGCTGCAGCAAGTAATGTCATGGATTGACTGGGAATGCCACTTACGATAGCAGATTTGAACTAAGCAAAAATGCAAACTACCAATATTATACTAACAGATTTATTTATCCCAAGCTAAAATCAAAGGACTATTGTCGGCGAAATAGAATAATTCTAGCATTCGTCGTTTTGAAAAGCATCTGAAAACGTGTCCAGTAGTGAAACTAGCTATGCAAATAAAAAATCCCTTTCCACTACTAAGTTAAACGAGATTGTTATGGGCTGGTATTATTATATTGACTTCTCTAACACACTCTCTACTAAAATGCTTCATTTAATTTTATTAGCCTTATCATGCACAAGCTTGAAAGAGTATTCGGGTGTAGGAATAATATCATTACACGCAAATACATTCAATTTTCATCTATTCAATACATTCAATGCATTCAAGTACGTTCCTTCTAATGCTCATTTAGTAATTAAAGAAACAACGCGTTGAGTCGTGTCGTTTGAACGTACTCCAAAATGAGTTCTGAGCACTTTGTTGATAATACAATCCAATTAATTCCAGGAAGTTATGTCTGCGAGTAAAGTGAGAACAAAACTGAAATCTTCGTTATGCAATTTAATTCCTGGTAAAATCTAATGTGGTATTCAAATTTTAACCAAGAAAAACGTCCGATTTGACTACATAGAAGAGAATGAAATGACAAACTATAACAAACACTATGTAACAACAATTAAAGTTATTTTTTGGGAATATATCTGAATTTAACAGGTAAACCCCCATTGGTTTCTACTAGACCTGGTATTTTTATTACGAATTCGGGCTATTTGGTAAATTAAATAAGAAAAGGTATACATGTTTCCGAACATCAGCAGTACTTTTACGATCCGTTGCCCCACTTAGTTACATAAGTAGAATCTTCTATAAACTCGGAAAACAAAATTAGGGACGGATCATTATTTATCAGCCAGTGGAAATTTTTGGGACAACGTTAAATCAATAACTCACATACGGGAGAACAACATAGATTACGGGTACGGATTTTTACACTAAAAATTTACACTAAACTAAGGTGTGATTTATGTATTCACACCTTAAGTTTCCTTTCAGACACTTATATAATTAAGTTTTTTGTATGTATATGTTTTGCAATACAAAAAGATTTCGAACATTAAATTTGTAAAAGTAGCTAATGATCGAATACGTTCATTTCAGAAATGTTTTCTACAAGTGTATTAATTTGTTGTTTGTTAATAGTATAATTTTATATTAGTCAAATTAAAACACTGAACAGTCTTAAGCAATCGGCACAGTTAATAAGCAGCAATCTTTTATTTATATTGTTCGCAATCGTTCCATTATCTCATGCTTGGTCCAAATTCACCGTACCTGATGACACTACTGCTGACAAAAGGAACATAATGGACCAAACCAGGCAACACGTCTTCAGTCGACGACGAGCTACCACTAGGGACAAAATAAATCATAAACCACTTTAATTATGTCAAAAAGTCAAGATTCCAAAAGAGATTACGGAATAGTATATTACGTTACTAGTCCTGAAAATAAGTGTTTACCGGACGAGTGTGGTCGTTCCCGTGTGAGACGTAGTCGAGTACGGGATTACCATACGAGTCCGGTAAACACATTTTGGACGAGTTACGTACGATAGTTTATGCCATACTACTAAATCCGTACAAATCCTTTTATATGTCCACCAACTAAAGGACTAAAAATCACTAGTCATAACCTCTAAGAGAGGTTATGTTTTTGTTTATAACCACTCACTGCCACCTAAATACAGTATAATCAGCTGATTGGTGTCCGGTAAAACTCATTGCAGTACAGTAGTACGCAATGAAACCCCATTTGAATAAGCTGGCGGCAAACAGCTGTTTTCTGGACTAAATCCTTGCGTGGGAAGTTCGTCAAAATAATGTAGTGTGGCGTAAAATTCTTTACGATCCAGAATTTGGAATAATTAAAAGAGAATGTAGCTAATCAACGAATTTCGTTTTGTAATATGGCAATCCTAATCACTAATCATCACTTTACAACACTATTACTGTATAAGCCTTGAATAATATCGAAAAGCCTACATCAATAACACTAGTATTAAAAACAAACAAATGTACATTCAATACAAACACTACACAAAATACATTCTACACGATCACTAAATTGTTATGCCTAATTCAATCACCAAAACAAAAACACCACGAAAACTCACCGAAACCATGATGTCAACCCGAAAAATCTACTGGAAAATATACGAATTGTCATGGCGAAAAACAACAAGCACTTAACATGGCCACTCACCCAATACAGACGATACAAGACTTTATCGAGCGGGCAAAGTACGCCGGCACTGGCACTTGTAAACATCTGATTGATAAAACGATCAGCTGATCGTAAATAAATAAATACTTGACCCACCACTGGTTGGCGACCACCAGCAAGATCGTCAGACGGTGAAACGTGCGAAGCATGATGCTGGACAAAGACCTGTCACTTGTAATCAGCTGGACACATTGTTGTCGAGATAATCAGCTGATAACGTAGGTGAGGCGATAGTGTTACAGACGGATTACAAAGTGAGCAGAGTTATGTAGACGGTGCCAGACAGTAAACTTGGCGTGTTTTATTTCTTCATAAACTTGTATTACAAATGATCTTAATTGTTTTCTAATTTATCATCAAATTGTGTTTAGGTACACTCGAAAACTAAACATAAATTAAAGTTACAGTTTGACGGCACAAGGCGAGTTTAATTGTGAGTTATCGAAAATTTTTACGGTTTTCTTATATTTGAAAATGAAGCTAGTTTCCCGAAAATAGTCATCGATATGGTGGATTGACGGATACAAAAGGTGAGCAACTTACATTTTAGACGAACAAAAACCTCACAAATACGATTAGGTAATTTTCAAAGTAACTATGTGTATGAAAAACATCTCTCAGTTGATGATTAAAGTTAAGTTTGATGGATCTTTTACCAAACTGTTGAGATTTTTTAGTTAGTTTTAAAATTATAAAATCCCTTATCTTAAGCAACTTACAAGTATTTTTTATACATTTTTTTTAATCAAGGTGAATTGCTTTTATGTTAACATCAACCTCGTTGCAAGGTCATATTTGAACCTCAACACTTCCAGGACTTAACGGATTTCAAACCCTTGGTGGTTTTCCTCCAGTCTCCAACCTCCAACCCGACTTCCTCGGGGTCCCCTGGATGCCCATCAGCCCACGACGTCACCTTGGGTATACGTCCACGCCAAGGTCGGGAGGGTGGTTGGCGGAAACTACTGTAGCTATCGTGTCTGGTCTTATCACTACGTGCGCGAAGTAGACATCTCATTAGATTATCGTTAGTTTCAACATCTTAAAGAACGTAATTATTTTTTTAACGTGCTTCTGTCGAACACGTTTTTTCTCTTAAATAAACTTAATCATACCCAAATGAAAGGCAACTAGTTAGTGGTAAATACTGTGTGTTTTATGTTACGTCGTCTATTAAAGTGACAAAATTTAAAATTTAAATACAATCTCAAAAGTTCAAACATTCTCGTTACCTACAGCAAATTTACATGGTATTAGTTGGATTGCCAGTTTTTTTGGTTCTTGATCTAAAGGGTTCATTAGAAAAGCAATTGTACAATTATATTTTTCTTCACTACATAATTTTACGTACATAAATCATAACAAGAGGTAATTTGGTTCTATATTTACCAGTCTTTATGTGAAATACTGGTAAATCAAAGCGAGACGATAGACTCATACAACACCGAAATGCGTTTTAGCTAGTACACGACTTTAACACACATCGTATTATTTGAGTTTCTACGAAGTTGTGTTTCGCATAACTTGTCATCCGGGACCGATTTAATCTGTTCGTTTTGATATCCCCAGAGGCCATAAATACCATCTGTTCAAATTCATATATATATATGTCGGTTAGCACGATAACTCCAGCAAAAATGATCCGATTTGGTACAAACTTGTAAACCTACGCTTATTCGTTGGTTTATTTGAACAAGTTCGCGAACCAGCGTGACCATGGGGACGGGGTTTTATAGGGGGATTTACGGGGTAACAGTTGTTTACTCAAAACATAAAATTTCCCAACTTCTCTCTAAACAATTTTGAAGAGCTTAAAAAACAAATAATTTAGTATTTTGGAGAGTGTTTGTACGATTATTGGTTACAGAGAAAATTCAAAAGTTTGTAAATTTTAAATTCACATATTATTTTTATGGAGAATAAGTAAACTGTTGTAATTTGCTTGTTTATGGATATATTTTGACCAAACTTATTTATTTATTTTATACAAAAAATATTAATATTTTACTAAAACACGCTTTGTTACCCTCCCTGTAGCAGCAAACCTATGTACTCGTTAAACCTAATGTTACAATTAATTGAAAAAATAAAATCAGGCAAATAAAAATTCACTTAGTCTGCAGGTATTTAAAATATACTGTAAAATTATAATTTGTAAAGTTCGGAAAGAGGAGAAAAAGAGAACAATACACACTCAAGAACACACGATACACAGCGAGATGGAGTGGGAGTAAGCCAAGACACTTGAGGATGTCTACTTATCTCTCATGCAGATGCAGTATTTAAGCTTCAAATAAAAATAAATTCAACACAATACTTGAGTTGTAATCTTCAACTCTACGAATAATAAACACAATACTACTCGTAAAACGTATAGTTAAAAGTTAAAATCCATACCACGGGGTTTTTACTTAAAATTATTTTTAAGTGTTGACAATGTTTAAAATCACTTAGGCGTGTTATATTGTTACAAACATATTTTTAATATTGACTTATTATTACTATTTTCGTGTAGGGTACGATTTGTGATTCTCCTTCACCCCTGTATTAAATAAAAAATAAATAATCCCAACTCGAATTTAGTTTCAATTTGTTTTACTTGGGTAATTTAATGTAATTACTACGTATCAGTTTTACAAACGGGAATGTTTACATGCACTAACAGAAACATATAGACTGAATTACTAGTTTCTTAATATTAGTTGGATAACTAAGAGAAGTAGTACAGTACTTGCAATATCACCTGGTTATTATGTGCGCACAACGTTTTTTGTATCGAAACTTAGCTACGGAATAGCTACGAAACAAAAACCATGTGTTACATATTCCCTCCAATTATATCACATGTTCCCTCCGTTTATGCATCCTTGGTCACGCGGTAGTATCAGTATTTCCGGATCAAAAACCTATTTTGAGAATACTTTAGTTTACACTATCCAAAATTATTTTTAGTAAACATCTTTCAATCAGTCCCATCAGTTTAAAGAAAGTACGTGTAAGTTTTTCAGATTTATTAAATATCAAGTCAAGTAAGAATGTCCCATTCACAAAGTGAAGTAATGTAAAAATTAAAAAATCTATATAGGGCAAGGTGGTGGGAGTGGATAGCACTTCGAACCCGGGGTTTCCGGAGCCCAAATTCGTTTTTGTTTTGATAAATCCTATTCCCAACAATTGCATACTACAAGTTGAGCTAACCAAAAAATTGATATTCACGAGCTTTCACAAGGAAGTCAAATGCTGTTTAATCCACGATAAATTGACTTGAAAACGTTTAAAATTGAGTTTTCTAAAATGAAGAATTAAAAAAATAACAAAAGACAGCGAACACTATGATAGACCTTCATAAAATCGAGACATTTCCTTCATACTGAGATTACTTCGTTGGTGGATATTACAGTCTAAAATATTTCGATATCTAAATATCTAGACGCAATGACAATGACAATTTGGTATCTTAAAAAATAAAAAAATAAAAGGTTTCTAGGACAGATCTAGCCTCTCCAGGATCTAGTTGGCCCAGGACCAGGACTCAACATCTGTAAGCTGATTGGGTCACGTGACTGTGGAGGTCAAATGACTCACCTTTGACCTTGGACCTCTGAATGCCTGGCTACAGTGTCACTGAGAAGATACCACATACTGCAGTTTACTACCGTGGAGTAGACATCGTAACTCGGGCATACTAAATTTATAATCGGTTTAGAATGAGCTGCAGTTCCGCTGAGCTTTTCTAATAAAAAATGTTTAAACCATTCAAAAATACTGTATAAGCACAACTTATTTGTTAACCATGCCACCTTTCACGTCGAACAATGGAAGAAACAAAAGCCAAGAGAGAAAACAGAATAATGATAAAGCAAACTTTATGGTCCATTTATATCGTCTTAAAAACTGGCTACAGCTAGTCTATATAGATTCAATGTCTACTGAAGATACTGCAGATGACTTTAGATAAGTAGCTAAAGTCGATGACATTAATTACAAACATGACCATGCTTATTACACGCAGTGCATCACCGAGCTTACTACTTCAAACAGCTTATCTGCAAGGACCACAGTAAAGAAAATAGCACTTGACGCAACCAGACGATTAGATAAGTTGACAAACAGCCGGGCGTGTAATA